GGGGGTGTCCGTGTCCCGGCGGGGTGTCATGTCCCCATGTCTCTGTGCGTTGCCCGGTGTCCCCGTGTCCTTCCCGTCGGTGCCCGGAGTCCCGGGGGGCCGCGCAGGGCCGTGTGGCGGCGGCCAGAAGGGCCCGTTCCGGTCTAGCCCGGCGCCCCCCCCAGAGCCCGCGGGCCCCGGCTCCCGGCTCTCTCGGGCGGGGCGGGCTGCGGGCGGGGCCGGGCCGGTGACTCGGCCGGGCGGGGCTCCGGGCCGGGGGCGGAGGCGGCCGTGGCAGCGGGACGTGGAGGGGCTGGAGCGGCCGCGCGGGGCCGGCCCGGCCCGGGGAGCAGGTAGGAACGGGGGCCGGGCCGGGAGCACCTACCCGGGGGAGAGACTGGTCTCCGGGGCCTCCGGCCTGGGGCCGCCGGGTCTCAGCCGCTCCCGCAGAGCGAGCGCCCCGAGACCCCCTCATGGCCCCCCCTTCCCGCCGACACCCTCATCCCTCCCGCCGCCCCCTGAACTCCCCTCATGGTCCCCCATTGCCTCCCATCCCCGCCGACACCCTCATCCCTCCCGGCAGCCCCCGCGCCGACCCCCCTCACGCCCTGAACCCCCCTCATGGTCCCCCATTGCTCCCTATCCCCCACACCCTTTGCGCCCTGAGCCCCCGCATGGCCCCAAACACTCCCTCCCTCGTGCCCTGAGCCCCCCATTCCTCCTGGCACCCCCTCGCCCCCAAAACCCCTTTATGGCCCCCCATTGCTCCCCATCCCCCGCCAACACCCTCACCCCTCCTGGCATCCCCTGAAACCCCCTCATGGCCCACCGAGATCCCCCATGGCTATGGCACTCCCTACCCCGACACCCTTTGCACCCTGAGCCCCCCTCTTGCCCCCCCTAGACACCCCCATCCCTCCTGGCACCCTGAGCCCCCTTCCTGCCCCCCCAGAGCCCTGCATTCCTCCCGTCACCCCCTACTCCGACACTCCTAGCGCCCTGAGCCCCCCATAACCCATGGTCTCTGGTACCCCTTGCCTCGACACCGTCGTGCCCTGAGCCCTCCCATGGCCTCCAGAATCCCCTGCCCTGACCCCCCTTGCACCCTGAGCCCCCCTCCTGGCCCCCCACACAGCCCCCCATTCCTCCTGGCACCCCCTGCCCTGACACCCCTCGCACTCTGAGCCCCCACCCATGGCCCCCTTCCCTCCCGGCATGCCTGGCCCCCAACTGCCCCAACACCCCTCATGCCTTGAGCCCCCCATGACCCCCGAGACCCCCTGGTGCCCAGAGATCCCCACCTCCTGCTGACACCTCATCCATCCCTCCTGGAACCCCTTGTCCCCCTGCTCCCCTGACACCCTCATCGCCCTCCCAGGACCCAGCGACCACTCCTGAATGCCCCCCCATAGCTCCCTGGTGCTCAGACCCCTCCGTCTCCCCCGCTCACTCCTCTGCCCTGAGACCCCCCTGACACCTGCCATCGCCCCCCCTCAAATCTCCAGCACCCTGACACCTTCTATTTCTCCTCTGCTCTACTATCCTCCATTGCCCCAACCCCCATCCCCCCTGTGATTTAGCACCCCCCCGTTGCCCCTCGGTCCGCCAACACCCCTCTATTGCCCCCTGCGCCCCCTCTCTGCCCCTGCCCCCCTACATCCCTCATCGCCCTTCCTGCCCTGACTCTCCCATCCCTCCTCTGCTCTAGTACCCCCCATTGCCCCCTGCCCAACACCCCCATTGCCTCTCTGCCGTGACACCCCACAACCCCCATTGGTCCCCCCCGACACCCTACATCCCTCCTCTGCTCTAGTACCCCCCATTGCCCTCTGCCCCGATGCCCCAACACCCCGCTCCCCATACAGAGCACCCAACTCCCTTCTGCCCTGATGCCCCCATTCCCTGCTCCCCACACAGAGCACCCACCCCCTCACACTCAGTCTTCTTCCCCCCCACCCTGACATGCCCATGCAGAATACCCTGTATTCCCCTGACACCCTATCTTCCCACCCAGCCCCTGGCATAATCAGTGCCCCGCTCCCACGCAGAACACCCACCCTGACTCCCTCTCAGGCACCTGACTCCCTCTGCTCTGCATGCAGGACACCCAGCCCCACATCCACCCTCTACCCCACTGCTCCTGACAGCCCCATTCCTCTACCCATGCAGAGCACCGACCCTGATTTCTGCTGACACCCTGACTTCACCCCTCTGCCCCCCACAGCTCCACGCCTCTGTCCCCACATCCTCATCCTCCCACTCCCCATGCAGAGCACCCACCCCATCCCCTCTGCTCTGCCCCTGACATCCCGTCCCCCTGCCTCCAGCTTCCCCTATTCCCCATGCGCCATGCCTCTGCTCCCCATGACATCTCCCTCTCCTGCCCATAGCATCCCTTGTTTCTCCCTGTGTGCCTCTGACATCCCTCTCCCTCTGCCCATGAAATCCCCTCCTCCTCACAACACTCCATCTCCCCTGCTCCCTGCCCCTCATGCACCTGCTCCCCCATCTCTCCGCTCTCTCTGCCCCGACCCTCCTGTCCCACCCCACCCACTGTCTGCCCGTTACCCCCACCATGGTGTAACCCTCCTTCCAGTTCTCAAGAAAACTTGATTGGCCTGAAAACTGTGTTTTGCCAAAGTGTGAAAGGTCTGGCCCCCGGGAAAGTTGTTGGGGAACTGCGCCCAGCTGTTGTCCAGGACAGGGGCTCTCACTGTGTTTGGGGTTAGCCATGGTAGCATAGTGCATTGGGTTGTGTGAAAAGCTGCAGCAAGAGTGCACTGTGTCAGATGTGATCAGCCCTGGGGATAGCACTGTAGTGCAGTGCTGTGCGTTACATGTAGGACTGCAGAGGATGCTGCTGCTTCCATCATGTTCATAAAAATAACAGTGATTGGAGCATCCTGTTGACTCACTGCTGCGTAAGAGCGGCCACACTGGGTCAGACCAATAGTCCATCTAGCCCAGTGTCCTGTCTTCTGACAGTGGCCAATGCCAGGGCTTCAGGGGGAGTGTAAAGAACAGGGCAATTGGAGTGATCCACCCCCTCCTAGCTTCTGGCAGTCAGGTTTCACCTCAAGCATGGGGTTGCGTTCCTGACTGTCTTGGCTAACAGCCACTGAAGGACCTATCCTCCAGGAACTCTAATTCCTTTTTGAACCCAGTTATACTTTTGACCATCACATCATCCCATGGCAATGAGTTTCACATGTTAACTATGCATTGTGTGAAAAAGTATTTTCTCTTGTTTGTATTAAATCTGCTGCCTATTAATTTCATTGGGTGACCTCTGGTTTTTGTATTTTGGGAAAGGGTCAAGACTACAACAGGTTCAAAAAAGAACTAGATACATTCGTGGAGGATAGGTCCATCAATAGCTATTAGCCAGGATGGGCAGGGATGGTGTCCCTAGCCTCTGTTTGCCAGAAGCTGGGAATGGGTGACAGAGGATGGATCACTTGATGATTACCTGTTCTGTTCATTCCCTCTGGGGCACCTGGCATTGGCCACTGTCAGAAGACAGGACGCTGGGCTAGATGGACCTTTGGTCTGACCCAGTCTGGCCGTTCTTATGTTCCTATGGGTAAATAACACATCTCTAGTCACTTTTTCCACACCATTCATGATTTTAGAGACCTGGTCCCCCTTCAGTCGTCTCTTTTCTAAGGTGAATAGACCTAATCTTTTTAGTCTCTCCTCCTTTAAAAGCCATTCCATGCTCTTGATCATCTTTGTTGCCCTTCTCTGAACCTTTTCCAATTCTAATATATCTTTTTTTGAGATGGGGGTGACCAGATCTGCATGCAGTATTCAAGGTGTGGGCATACCATGGATTTATATAGAGGCAACATGATATTTTCTGTCTTACTATCTATCCCTTTCTGAATGATTCCCAACATTCTGTTTGCTTTTTTGACTGCCGCTGCACATTGAGCGGATGTTTTCAGAGAACTATCCACAATGACTCCAAGATCTCTTTCTTGAGTGGTAACAGCTAATTTAGACCCCATCATTTTATTTGTATAGTTGGGATTATGTTTTCCAGTGTGCATTACTTTGCACTTATCAACACTGAATTTCATTTGCCATTTTGTTGCTCAGTCACCCAGTTTTGTGAGATCCCTTTGTAACTCTTCGCAGTCTGCTTTGGACTTAACTATCTTGAGTAGTTTTGTATCATCTGCAAATTATGCCCCCTCACTGTTTACCCCTTTTTCCAGGTCATTTATGAATATGTTGAATGGTACTAGTCCCAGTACAGGCTCCTGGGGGTCATCACTATTTACCTCTCTCCGTTCTGAAAACTCATGTTTATTCCTACCCTTTGTTTCCTATCTTTTAACCAGTTACTGATCCCTGAGAGGACCTTCCCTCTTATCCAATGACAGTTTACTTTGCTTAAAAGCCTTTGGTGAGGGACCCTGTCAAAGGCTTCCTGAAAATCTAAGTCCATTATATCCACTGGATTCCCCTTGTCCACATGCTTGTTGACCCCCTCAAAGAATTCTAATAGATTGGTGAGGCATGATTTCACTTTACAAAAACCATGTTGACTCTTCCCCAACATATGGTGTTCATCTATGTGTCTGATAATTCTGTTCTTTACTACAGTTTCAGCCAGTTTGCCCAGTACTGAAGTTAGGTTTACTGGCCTGTAATTGCCAGGATTATCACCGGAGCCTTTTTTAAATATTGGCATCACATTAGCCTCCGTCATCTGGTACAGAAGCGGATTTAAATGATAGGTTACATACCACAGTTAGTAGTTCTGCAATTTCACATCTGAGTTCCTTCAGAACTCTTTGGTGAATGCCATCTGGTCCTGGTGACTTATTACTGTTTATCAGTTTGTTCCAAAACCTCCTCTAAAGACACCTCAATCTGGGACAGTTCCTCAGATTTGTCACCTAAAAAGAATGGCTCAGGTTTGGGAATCCCCCTCACATTCTCAGCCGTGAAGACCGATGCAAAGAATTCATTTAGTTTCTCCACAATGGCCTTATCGTCCTTGAGTGCTCCTTTAGCATCTTGATCGTCCAGTGGCCCTCCTGGTTGTTTAGCAGGCTTCCTGCTTCTGATGTACTTAAATGGTTTTTTGCTATTACTTTTTGAGTCTTTGGTTAACTGTTCTTCAAAATTCTTTTTTGGCCTTCCTAATTATATTTTTACACTTCACTTGCCAGAGTTTCTATTTTCCTCACTAGGATTTAACTTCCACTTTTTAAAGGATGCCTTTTTGCCTCTCATTGCTTCTTTTACTTTGTTGTTTAGCCATGGTGGCACTTCTTTGGTTCTCTTACTGTTTTTTAATTTGGGGTATACATTTAAGTTGAGCCTCTATTATGGTGTCTTT